GCCAGGGTGCTGGACCAGGGGCCGTCCAGGCCGCCAGCCCGGGCTCCGCCGGCGCGCCGTCCACGGTGACCCCAGACTTGGCCACGCCTCCCCGAAGCAGGTCCTGCCAGGCCCGGGGTCTCCAGTGGCCAAGGGTGCCCAGGCCTGGGAAGTGGGAGCAGAGGGCAGGGCCTTGGGCCGCACCCTGCTGCCTCCCAGCCCGCATTCCTTTAGGCTGGTGGGTGGGTTTGGGACCCCAGTGGGTTGCTCGGGAGGCTGCATTTGGTGCTGGCTGGACTGGGAAGCCAGGCTGGCGTCCGGGAGGCAGCTTCTGGATTCCCGGTTTTCAGAGGGGAAAGGGTGAGAGGACCCGAGTCTTTTTCAGCCTGGGGCCATAGTGAAATACCATGGATGGGGCAGTCTAAACAAACTTTCCTCCCAGTTCTGGAGGCTGGAAGTGTACGGTCAGGGTGCCCGCTGCTCTGGTAGCTGGTCAGGACCCTCTTCCCAGCTGCCTTCTCGCCGTGTCCTCACGTGGCCAGCTCCTGGGGTCTCTTCTCTTGGGCACTAATCCCATGATGGGCCCCACCGTCCTGACCTCATGTGAACCTGGTCACCTTCCAGAGGCCCCACCTCCTAACACCATGTTGGGGTTAGAGCTTCAACACATGAACTTGGGGACACAGAATTCAGTCCATAGCAGTGGGATCCAGGAGAAGGGAGAGCTGCCTGGGCTGGACCGGTGGGAACCTAGGGCCTGCCACGCACACCGTGAGCTCTGATGTCCTCAGCTTGTGTCCTGTAACACAGTAACTTCATTCCGCGTGGGACAACTTAACGTGTTGCTCCGATTTGTGTCCCAGGGCTACACACCCCGGGTGGATCCCTAACAAGTGGGGCTCTTCTGCCTTTTGAGCCAGCTCCCTCCCCAGCGTACTTGGCAAGACAGGTCCTCCCAGGCTGTCGGGAATTCCCACAGTTTGGAGTTTGTTTTCCCAGAAGCGTGTGGGTGATTCTGCTGCTGTCATCTGTGTGAAGTGTTATGGTTTCCAAAGCCAGATACCGGTGCTGTCCCCCGCAGACGGGGACAGGCCTCGGAGAGCTCCTGTTTCCCCAGCAGAGGGAAGCTCAGAGGGGTCCAGAGTTCATGGGCCAAAGTGGCATCTGTGTGCGGCATGCGTTTTGCAGCCTAGAGAGACCCTATTGTGTGTGGCTGGGGGGCTGCTGGGTGGCTACTCTCATGGCTCTGGAGGCAGGAGTCCTAGCAGGTACAAGCTTCCTGCCCAAGGCCACGTAGTGTTAAGAGGCTGGTCTGAGGTCTGGCCAACCCCGTGGCCATCGCCCGAAGCACAGTTGCCGGCAGGTAGCAAACCAGCTGGCCTGTTTGCCAGACGGACTTGCTGTGGGCAGCCTTGCTCAGGAGCCACCCTTCTAACAGTGATGCCCGGCACCCCAGGCTGGGCTCCGTCAGAAGCTCCTCCTGCTGTGTGCTGGGCCCTGCTGGCCACCTGGAGCTCTGATGGCTTGTGGGGGGCTGGGATCTGGAGCCTGGGTTTGGGAGGGGGCACATTTATGCCCCCTTGAGAGTGTCAGCCAGTGTCTGGTGGGACCTGTCAGTCCAGAGACTTTGTGGCAGGAAACTGGGAAGGACGCAGATGCTCCCCCAGCAGCCGCCTGCGGGTGTGGGGAGACGGAGGCTGGGCCCATCAGTCTGTGGGGCTAGGCCCTTTGCTCCCTCCGGGCAGCTGGGAGAGGCTCCAGCCATAAATATCTGAAAATGTTAACGGTGAGCAGGGAAAGGGGGGGAGGGTTAATGACCCACCTCAGTCCCCTCCTGCGTAGATATCGCCAAGGCCTTGCCAAAGATGAGGGAACCAGACAAGATATTAGAAGGTGTTACCTGACATGCTAACATCAGGGAGATGCTTCTCGGGATGAGGGGATCAGGGATGCAGTGGTGGAGGGGCCTCCTTCCTGCTGACCCGGACTCTGGGGAGTAGCTGCCCCGCCATCACGGGGCTCACGACTTGTCTGTGGCCAGATGGGCTGGCTTGCCTGCCTGGCCCCCATGGGCACTGGTTTCCTCCTGGGTGTCAGAGGGTGGGTCTGGCCAGGCTGAGTGCAGGGAAGGTGAGGGCAGAGGCCGGCCCAGCCCTGTGGCCACCAAAGGCTCCGGAGGGAAGGCTCAGGCACCGTGGTGGCCTCCTGTTCGATGCTGTCAGCACAGTGTTTTCCTACGTTGTTGTAGTGCTTGTGCTGCTTGGAGGTAAGACCTGTCTGCTTTTCTCTGTAAAGTGTGTCGAGGATGACTCTGTCCAGCTTTGCCTTCTGGGCCAGCCCAGGAGCAAGAGGTGGAGGCCCCGAGCTGTGCTCTCTGGGCCCCTGGCTCAGGCACAGCTTCCTGTTTCTGTTCCGGTTGGTGCCTTGCATCAGGGGAGAGCTTTACTCTGTGACGCTGGAAGGAGGTGCTGGGAGGGGTGAGGCCCAGGTGAGCCACTGCCCTTGACCAGGTGCCAGCCAAGCTGCTGCTACTTCCTGGACAGGGGACACCCGGCGGGAGGCCCTGGCTGGGCTCCCCTTCCTGTTCCGCGGGGCCCGACTGCCACCTTCCTCGCTGGCTGCCCTGCTGCTGGGAGCCCGGAGCTCCCTTTGGCCCTAAGCCTGTGGTTCCCCTGCCTGACCCTTCATCCTCGGGATGGGCCGCCCCCTTCTTGGTCAGCTCAGGCCCGTCTGAGTGTCGTGGACAGCAGACCTTGCGGTTACCCCAGGAGGCAGCCCTGCTCTGTACCAGCTGCCCCGATGGCTCCTCCCGGCCCCAGGAGGGAAAGCGGAAGTTCAGAGGCGCCGTGGGGGCCGGGTCACCAGTGAGGTTGGGGACAGGGTCTGATGTTGCATCGCGCTCATTCTATTATTTGTTTTTCCTTCTTGTCATGAAAGTTTTGAAAAGTGCAGGAATAGAGAACCTGAGCCCTGGGGGAGGGGGGCTCCATTGGTTAGAGCATCTTCCTGATACACCAAGGTTGAGGGTTTGATCTCTAGTCAGGGCACATATAAGAGTCAACCAACGAGTGCGTGAGTGGAAAAACCCATGTTTCTCTCTCTCCTTTCCCTTCTCTCTTAAATCAGTAAATAAAATTTAGAAAAACATGAACCTGAAGTGAACCCTTGGCACGTACTGAAGCCCCTGTGGGGTCCATCCTGTGTGTCCCCCGGCTGCTGCTGAGTCATGGCCAGAGATCGTGTCTGTCTGTGTAAGGCCATGTTTGTCAGACCACGACTCCACGCCACAACTACAACCAAGTAACAGTCCTCTGTGACGCCAGTCGCTTGTCCAGGTTCTGTGGGGCCCTTGTGGTTCTATTTGGCATTCCCGCCATGCCTTCCTGGGTCTGCGTGCTGGCCGCCTGTCCTGGGGCGGCAGAACCCTGGCTCCGTCAGGCACTGGTGGGGCTCTCGGTGGCCTCGGGGAGGCGCAGTGATGGGACAGTTGCGTGGTCACATGTCATGTGCTGCTCCTTCACCCCTCACCAGGGTTCCCGTGGAAGGGGCCGGCCCGTGGGCCTCCCAAGTCTGTGCTGACATCTGTGTGCAGGTGACTGACCATGTTGCACTGTGTCGCCCGCGCTGACTCAGCGTGGACAGTAGCCACGGCTCTGTCCACAGATGCCCGAGACAGCCCCCAGGGTCCAGCACTAACGTGATGCAGATTCACTCCGTCCACTGGGTTTCTCCTTTTAAGGAGTTCTGTGAAGTGTGTTTTGTTCCAAAGTCAGAGAGGAACCTGGTCCACCCGGCCGCCTGCGTCCCTGCTGGGTCAAAAGGAGGCGGGGGTAGCAAGTCCCAGGCTCACTGGCCACGACCCATGCTGCAGGGTTGGCCTGGTGCTCATGGTGGCGTCTCCCACCTGCCCCACCCAGCCCTGGCACCCTGGTGGCTGGTGACGTCAGGCAGGGAGGCTTCAGTCCTACCCAGGGGTCATTCAAGACGACCAACAGAGACTGAGCCCCCTGACGGGGCCCCGGGCACAGCCCGGCTCCAGGTGAGGACGTGCACCTGTGTCTGCAGGCTCCCGTCAGTGCCAGAGCCTCGGCGCAGCCATGGAGGAGGAAGAGGAGCAGCCGCCTCAGGAGGTAGGGCCGCCGGGCGGGCTGCCTCCTGCGCAGCCTTGGGCTCAGGGCCCCGCAGCCTCTCAGTGGAGGGAGGGTCCCCAAGGATGCTCCCCTCAGGGTGGCCTTAGGTCGCTCAGCTGCTCTTGGCATAGAAGAGCTTCATGGGGTGCTCCCGGGTGGCTGCCTGCAGAGCGATCGTCACGCAGAGCCTTCTGGTCCTGGGGCGAGTGGGCCTCGGGTAAAGTGGACATACAGGGCTGAGGCAGCCCCCGAGGAGGTGGGCACCCTGACTCAGACACGCCCCTTCCCTCCACAGGCCAACGCAGAACCCACTGTGACCTCAGGCGCTTCGGAGATGGTGCCCCGGGTGCCGTCCGGAGAACCCCAGAACCTGTGTTCGTGTCCCCAAGATCACTCGGTGCTGGGCAGCAGGGGTGGGCAGCCCCAAACTTCTGGTGACGGACCCTGGCTGCCCTGGGGCATTGGGGGCGCCTTTTGAGCACAAGTGGGATGAGCAGAGCTGCAGCTGTTCCCCTCGGGGAGCCGGTGCCTCAGAGCTGCCCTGGGTGCTCCCCTTAGGATGGGGTCTGGTCAGCTGCCTGCTGTGAGGGAGGACCGGTGACTCAGCGTGCGCAGCCAGAGGCCCTCCCCCTGCAGACGGTGCCCCCGTGCACATCTGGGTCCCACCATGCAGTGCAGCCCCACCCGCACCCTGGTGGCTCACCCCAAGCTGGGCCTTGTGTCCTTGCAGCCGACGTGGACGCCTTCAACCTGCTTCTGGAGATGAAGCTGAAGAGGCGGCGAGAACGGCCCCAGCTGCCACGCACGGTGACGGAGCTGGAGGCCGAGGACGGCAGCAGGGTGTACGTGGTGGGCACGGCCCACTTCAGCGATGACAGCAAGAGGGACGTCGTGAAGGTGACAGCTGTCGCGGTGGTTGGAGCCCAGAAGGGCCACACCTCCCGACACCAGGGCTGCTCGGGGCTCCTGTTTCGCCTCCCCTGGTCTCCCTACCTGCTCCCCCAGGATGGGCAGCCTGTTCCAGAACTTTCTTTAGTTGCTTTTTAACCTGAGCTGTTCCCGCAGTCATTGAGTCCCACTGGATTGCCTGGGGGCTCTACTCGCAGGGCACAGGGAGCGGCCCAGGGTGACGGGTGTCCTCGCAGGGTCCCAGGGAGCAGGGCCCAGGGTGACATATTTCCTTGCAGACAATCCGGGCGGTGCAGCCGGACGTGGTGGTGGTGGAGCTGTGCCAGTACCGCGTGTCCATGCTGAAGATGGACGAGCGCACGCTGCTGCGGGAGGCCAAGGAGATCAGCCTGGAGAAACTGCAGCAGGCGGTGAGGCAGGTGCGTGTGGCCGTGGGCTGGGCTGCCGCTGGGCCACCTTCAGTCAGCTGTGCTGCCAATCCTGCCTGTGAGCCTGAGGCCCCCTGGTCATGGGACCCAAGGTAGACCTGGCTGTCCAGCTAGTGCAGAGGTGCCCAGCCCACCTGAGGCTCTGTTAAGGACCCTCCACCCTGGCATGTGGCAGGGGAGAGGCTCTCACCAGGTTTCAAAGGAGTAAGAGGGCCGGGTTTCAAAGGTGACTCGAGGGCCAGGTTTGCTGATCGTTACGGGAAGGGGTGGTCTCTGCCATCTGTCCTACCTGCCAGCCCGGAGCAGTACCCTCAGCATGTCCCCCACACGTGGTCCCCGGGCCCAGGGCCCGAGTCCACTGCACCGACCACAGGCAGAGGATGCTGGTCTGGAGGGGAAGGAGTGTCCAGTGCAGAAGCTGGGCAGGCCGTCCACACTACAGCCCTGACATGAGCTGGCCCTGGGCCCACCTGGGCCCTGGCTCACAGCTGGCTCGGCCTCTCCCACAGAACGGGGTCATGTCAGGACTGATGCAGATGCTGCTGCTGAAGGTGTCAGCCCACATCACCGAGCAGCTGGGCATGGCGCCCGGTGGCGAGTTCAGGGAGGCCTTCAAGGAGGTGGGCCTGGCTCAGCCGGGAGGGCTTGGGGCTCGGGGCACCCTGGGGTCTGGGCTTCCCCAACCAGCCTTGGCCTCTGCCCCAGGCCAGCAAGGTCCCCTTCTGCAAGTTCCACCTGGGTGACCGGCCCATCCCAGTCACCTTCAGGAGGGCCGTCGCCGCCCTGTCCTTCTGGCAGAAGGTCAAGCTGGCCTGGGGCCTGTGCTTCCTATCGGACCCCATCAGGTAGGGCTCCCTCGGTCTCCCGCTGCAGTTCCAGCCCAGGAGTGATGCCCAGAAGCCTGGGGGGGTCTGCAGGGTGCCAGCCCACACGTGGCTGAACCCCACAGAGCACACGTCCCTCTTGTCCTTGGGTTGAGCCTCACGGGCCCTCCCAGCCCTCCCTTCCGCCATGACCCAAACAAGAGGGTGTCTGGTCCCTGCCCCGGGTGAGCAGCACCTGCCGCCCCCTGCTGGTGGCCCTGTCCTGGGGCTGGCAACACGCCCTCTGCCTCCAGCAAGGACGATGTTGAGCGGTGCAAGCAGAAGGACCTGCTGGAGCAGATGATGGCGGAGATGATCGGTGAGTTCCCGGACCTGCACCGCACCATCGTCTCGGAGCGGGACATCTACCTGACCTACATGCTGCGGCAGGCCGCCCGGCGCCTTGAGCTGCCTCGCTCCTCTGATGGTGAGAACAGGCCCAGTGGGGGTTCCCTGAAACCCGTCACTGACGCAGGTGCTGACGGGTTGCTCCCCCCACAGCTGAGCCCAGGAAATGTGTCCCCTCTGTGGTGGTGGGCGTCGTGGGCATGGGCCATGTCCCCGGCATTGAGAAGAACTGGACCACTGACCTCAACATCCAGGAGATCATGACGTGAGTGCCGTCCACCCCGAGCACCGAGCTAGGCTGGGGGATGGAGGGGAACACAGCAGGGCCTGGGCTGGGGCTGGGTGCACACGTCCGGCACCAGGCCCAGCCTGCCCTCCCTCCGCCAGCGTCCCCCCACCATCCATCTCCAGCCGAGTGTCCCGGCTGGCTGTGAAGGTCGCTTTCTTGGGCCTGCTGGGCTACGGCCTGTACTGGATGGGGCGCCGCACCGCCACCCTGGTCCTGTCGCTCCCTGCCACCCAGTACTGCCTGCAGAGAGCGTCTTCCGCCCGGCCGGACCAGTAGGAAGGACCAAGGGAGCCACCACAGCTGAGGGGGCCGCATGCAGCTGTTCCCCCGTACCAGCTGAGGGCGCAGGGTCGGCCCCCTGAGGAGCTCCTGGGCACCACCCCCATGGGGACCCAGGCCCAGCCTTGCCTGCCCTCCCCCGACCCACCCAAATAAAGAATTATTTAACTACTCTGAGCTCAGGCTTCCCAGCCCCGCCCCCACCAGGGGCCATTCATGGGGTTCATGGGCATCAGGACAAGGGTCAGGGGAGGAGCTGAGATGCACCCTGGCCCTCAGCCCCCAAGCAGTGGGGCATGTGGGCCCCTGCCGGCCAGCCCCTCCCTCACTGTGCCTTTGATGGGTGCTGGTCGCAGGAACGTCCCCTCAGGAGCCCGGGTTGGCCAAACTTGGTGGCCCTGGACGCTCGGCCTACAGAGATTGTGTGTTTTGGGCTTTTTTAAATTTGTGAAATTTTTTACTCAGGTAATTTTAACTTAAACTGAAGCAAATGTCAGGAAATACTAGCCTTAAATCTGGTTGGGACATAGGGGTCTTGGTCCTGAGACAGGAGCATGCGGGGAGGTCAGCCTTGGCCGTGGGGCAGGATGCGCCCTCCCGCTGCCCCCTTCAGCTGCCTCCAGCCCACGGTGCCAGGGGTGACATGTCAGGGCTGAGGGGTTGGACCTGGTTCCTGTGTGTCTGGTGGGGGCCGTGGTTTCCCAACCTCTGTGGACAGATGGTGCATGTCCGCCAGGGCTCACCAGTTTGCACATGTGCCAGCAGGCACCCACCACCCTCCCGTGCACCCACCTCGGGTGGTGCAGGCAGAGGCTCCCGGTCGGGCTGGCCCCGCCCGGCATTTCCGCCTCGGTCGTTACTCGTGTGTGTAGTCAATCAACCTGGTCTGTCCCCGACGTGGCTCCATGAAGCCCGAATCTGGGCCACGTGATTGTGTTGACTTGGTGTCTAACCAAATCAGGTGAAACCCACGCCAAGAGCTAGGCTGGAACCCTGGGCTGGGCCGTGTCCTTCCTGTTGTTCACATGCGTGTGTACATGTTCCTGAAATAAAAGCTAATTTTTGAAGCTCCTGTTTTGTAAAATGTGTGAAATGGGACTAAGTGACCAGGGAGGGGGTGCTCCCCTGGGCCACAGTGGAGTGGGGCAGCAGGGGCCTGGGCTGGGGGGCAGAATGCTGGTACTGAGGTGGAACTGCCACCACCTCAGAGGATACAGGGCCTGGGACCCTGGAACGAGCCCATCCCAAGTGTGAACCCCAGGCCAGTGAGGGCACCAGCCAAGGGGAAGTGTGTTTGGAGAACACTCACCCCTGGTCTATGTCCTTGGCTCCTCCACCCTGCTCAGTGCCCCCACCCTGGCTCTGGGGAGGGGAGGAGGTGGGTGAGCCCAGCGCCCAGAACAAAAGGCTCGTAGGGGCCCAGCAGCTCAGATCTGCTTAGAAAGACCACAGTGAGCACTGAGGGTGGCTCGGCTGTCCACGGGCAGGCATGGAGGGAGCTGGGGGCATAGAGAGGGTGGCTGGTGGGGATGTGGGGGAGGCTCTCCCCCCATGATATCTGTTCCCCAGGAAGCATGGCTGTGGGTCTTGGGCTGGGTCTTGCTGCTCACCTCTGCCTCTGCCCTGGGCCAGCTCCCTGGTGCAACACCACAGGCCGGGAAGAGGGGCCCACGGGCCCATGGGCCTCACTAACCTAGATAGGCTGGGAGTCCTCTCCACAGGTTCACGTGGTATGGCTGGAACCCTGAGCTCTGGTGGGCAGAGTGATGCATGCTGGGCAGCCTCTGACCCATCACCCGGGGGCTGCACCCTGTAGGCCTCTCAGCTCCCACAAGGACCTGCCTGGGGGAAGGGCAGACAAGGACAAGGTCCTGCTGCATCTGTGTTAGGAGGGGCCGGCTGGGCTTGGGGCAGCACCTACTGCCAGGCCAGGAGGAGGAAGGCAGGGAGACAAAGGCTGACCCTCCTAGGGCAGCGGGGGTGGGGGGGCGGTCCACAATGGACACACTGGGGGAGGTGGTGTCTAAGGACAGTGGGAGGCACTGAGAGTCTGGCCGAGGGCCAGGGGCTAGCAAACCCATGGATCCTAAGGGACAGCCGCTTCCAAGAGAGAAGGTGCCTGAGGCAGGTGTCCCGAGCTGAGGGGACAGTGGCTACCCATCTGCCAGAAGCAAGGTTATGTCATCTGTTGTATCATCGTGGGGGCTCTGGTCCAGTCACCCAGAGAGCACCGCCCCTTCTCAGACCCTGGCCCCTCCTGACCCTTATCTCCCATGGCAAAGAACCGTTCTCAGAGCCGGGTGAACCGTGGGCTCTAGGCAGAGGAGCCGGCGCCCCCTTCCGGGTGAGCAGCCTGTGGCATAGGGGGCAAGGAGGTACTGAGAATGCATCATTTGTAAAAGCAAGAGTGGTTTCTGGGCAAGGTGGGCAGGGAAGGGCCGAGCCCAGCAGCTTGCCTTCTGAGGTCCATCTCAGACCTCACACCCAGGCACAGGCAATCGCTGAGCGTTGTTCATGGTCAGGAAAGGCTGGGAGAGACCTAAACATCCACCTCTGAGAGAATGAACGAAGACAGACACCTGGGATGCAACGTTAGTGAACAAAGGACGCCGCAAAGGGGGGTGTAAAATAACACACCTTGTGGGCACCGGCTGTGAATTTTCACTCTCTTTCTGAGCATTTGAAATCGTTACAATGCATGTTTGTGGTACATTTAGGAGACAAACAGTAAGATTTCACTTTTTCCAATGAAGAGAAAGTGCTTAGGGGAGCGTGACATCCTCTCGGGCAGGAGGGCAGGCCTGCGTGGTCCGTCCCGGCACAGTGGGCCTGCCTGCCTGTGCTCCCAGGTCCTCTGCGACGTGCGTGCAGATGGGGGCGGGGAGAGGCCTCTGGACCCGGAGAGCTGCTGGCAAGAGTACGAACAGGGCTTGCCAGACGCAGGAGGTAGGAGGGCGGTGCTGCCCATGGGCACAGGGGTGTTGCCAGTTGCCTCAGGTACTTGTCCCTGAGATCACAGCTTTGTTTTGTTTTTTTTTAATTTATTTTTTTAAATCCTCACCCGAGGATATTGACTTCAGAGAGAGTGGGAGAGACAGAGAAACATCGATTGGTTGCCTCCCACACACCCCCCGACCCAGGCTGGGGATCAGGCCTGCAACAGAGGTACGTGCCCTTGACCTCCGGGAATGGAACCCGTGACCCTTCGGTCCGACCCTCTAACTACTGAGCCAAACCAGCCAGAGCCCTGAGGCCACAGCTTTGATGCCCACCAGGAACGCAGGGCGGACGCTGGGGCTGGGGGTGGCTGCCGGCTGGCAGCTGCCATCACTCCAGCCCTGGCTGGTGGTACAGTGACTGCGTCCAGGCTGCTCTCAACAGGCCACGGGCGGTGGCTGGAGTACACAGGGGCCTTAGGCGTGCCCTGGTTTGGGGGTAACTACACGGGGGCCCTGCGCTCCAGCATGTCCCGCAAGGCCTAGGCCCGCACCACGTGGCAGGGAGCCTCATTAAGTGTTCAACCCGCTGTCCCCATCCTTGCATTTCCTCCTTGTGGGTCAGGACGGGGGGGACCCGGTCAGCTCCTGCCAGCAGCACCTGCCCAGAAGGACAAACCTGGGGGAGCCCAGGAGGCCGTGTAGCCCAACAGTGAGGCCAGAGGCAATGATGAGAGCTGGGAGGCCTGTGCTGACCTGCTGGAACCCTTGGCACCCACCAGGTGTGCCCTGCCGCTGTGAGCTTGGTGAGGGCAGCCGGTGGGGCACAGAGCCTGGCACTGGCCCTCAGTAACCCGTCCCTCCAGATTCAGAGCCTGGGTAAGACAGTGGGGTGAGGGAGAGGAGGTAAGTCAGGAGGGCGGGGCCTGGGGTTCAGGCCGGGTCTCTGGGCAGTGAGGGAAGAGGCTGGGAACAGGGCACCCTGCCTGCAGGCAGGTGGAAGGGAAGCTGGGCTGCAGGGCGCCAAACACCTACAGGGACCTCACCACGTGGTCCCCCTCATCTGGGTGACCCCCCCACCCCACACAGAAGGTAGTGTCACTGACCATCTCGTGGAGAACCCTGAGATGGTGAGGGGTTCCCCGAGGTCACGCAGCCTGCAGGGCGGAGCCGGTGCACAGAGGTCAGGGGGCGCACGCTGGGGCCCCGGGGCGGCCCCTTGGAGCTCAGCGCAGGATCCTGCCAGGCGGGACTTGGGAGTTTGCGGGGAGTCTCCGGCCCAGCTCCTGGTCTCGGGTTTTACTTTGGAGCCTGAGCGGGGGGTGGGGGGAGTGGGGGGCATGACTAGGAAACCCCTCCAAGGACCAGGCGCGCTCCCCGCCCACAAATAAGCGGGGTCAGCTCATTGGGGCTCCTCTGGCCCTAACCCCCGAGTGATTCTGCCGCCTGACCCCCCTCCTTACCTGGGGGCGGGCTTGGAGACCAGGCGTGGCCGGCGTGCCCCCCCCCGCATCCGTGGGGGGCTCTCTGGGCCGCGAGCTGCCCCCGCACCTCGAGACACAGGCAACCGGGGGCGCTCGTCCCACGGAGCAGCGCGGTGCGCGGAGACTCGGGTGACTCGGGGCGCGACAGGCGGGCGCACGCACGT